TGGACAAACAGTGTGCATGAAATATAACTTTAAATGTATTTGATAATCATTCATGTTCATCATATGAGACATCCAGCATGAATATTTCCTTTCAAAAACGATTACTTTATAATAACTGTAATTCTACGTTTTTTACTTCAAAGGTAAGTGACCATAACATTTTGAATTCCGTTTTCTGCATGAATAATTCAACTGGAAAATAACCACTGTACACAACCCTTTTCATAGATGATGCGAGTGAAGCTTGTGAGAATTTTTGCGATCTCTATATGAGCTGCAAAGGGGGCGGAGTCTGCCAACTCTTCTGATAAGATTACAGATGTGCCAGGATGTGTTTGTGGATTTGTACAATGATGAGTTTATATTATTATAAAATTATCTTCTCAAGAGAGCTGCACTTAAAAGACTAGGCCAAATTGATTGTGCCAAAGGGGCAGGCATATCCATAACTAAAATACTATTGTGCCGTCATGTTGAATTGCTGACTGTTTCCCAGATATAATTGCAGGCATTTTTGTGAAAATGGCAAAGTGATAAACATCACCAGAACACATTTTTTGTCAACTGCATAACCTAATGCCAGATGGACATACTTCAGATCAGCTTGGCGGTAATATAGCCTTGTGAAAGTTTGTGCAATCACTTGAATTCTGGTTGATACTATTGTAAAGTTATATTTCAATGATAGCAAGATTTACAAGGCAATCACTCATTGATACCTTCAAGTTTTGATAATAACTGAAGAAGTTATTGTCAACAATCCGTTTCCTTAAGAAATGAACAAACTTTGTGATCTTACAGTATTTAATCACAAAATAGAGGCCATTTAACTAATCATCATTATCTTCCTTCTGGCCATACTGTCAGTGAATACAGTGCCATTGTATTTACACACTTCTCACAAGAGATATTCGCATCGTTTTTGAAGAGAATCCTTTTTTAACAGAAGTTGAACAGAGTTTTTGTTTTACATATTTCATATTCAAACATGATTTATGTTTGTTGGAGAAGGGTTTTAGATAACTTATAAATTGTTTAAATGCTGTGATACTAAGCGCCTGATAAGTTATGAACATTCACTTCACATGATATTACTTTCCTTTGAAGCAATTGAAATTTAATAATTAACAATCTTTCTGACAATAATCCACAATTCTTTGTAATATGTGACGTTTCAGATAATAATCCACAAGAGTACATAATGGCATCCAAATATTTACATTATTTGAATTTTTTATTACAGTAGTTGAAAGCATATCGAATAGGTGTATCTCCCCCAGTTAGCTGCTTTCTTCTTGATGTGATGTCTATTTTGAAAAAAAACAGAAACTTATGGTATATATTTGTGTATGAGTAAGATATAAACAGTTATTTTGCAGAAAATCCTTGTAAAGTTAAATTAATGTATATTAAAATGTAAACTTTACTTTGGTGTCTGAATTAATGTTGTAATGCATTCTTGTACAGTATTATAACTCAAGTGTGTATGCATGTCTGAAGAAATTGCTTGAAACATTGAACTCTGTTGGCTGTGTGCAATTTATTTTTTAAACGTTGATAAGTTTTTCTTTTAAAGATAAGTTTACTCATTAACTTATATAGTTGTCACATGTACATGTTCTTTGACATACACAGGTGGACACATGCACGGCAGCACGCACCTACACCCTCACATTCACATCCACCCCCACATCCACATCCACCCTCACACATCCACCCTCACATCCATCCACATCCACATCCACCTCACATCCACATCCACCCCCAATCCACATCCACATCCACCACCCCCCCCCCACACACACACACAGACGCTCACACTCACACTCATACTCTACTCATACTCATACTCTACTCACACACACACACACACACACACACACACACACACACACACACACACACACACACACACACACACACACACACACACACACACACACACATATTCACACTCACATACCTAAATCTATTAGTGTGTCATATAGTTTGAAATCTTTGTGCAGACATGCTAAATGATAATGTATTTCCAGGTCTCCATATGTGCCCCGGGGTGACAGTTCAGAAGACGAAACTGCTGGTGGCATCAACAGCGATCTCACTCGCTCTATCACTGCCCCATCCTTCATCACCAGAGACCTCAGGTCACGTGATCCTAGTCATGAGGATCTTTTAGGATCTATCTCCAGCTTACCACAACAACCAGAGACTGAAGTTGGAGGACTTACTGTTATCAACATTAAACACGCCTTGAGTGAAACTCTTGCTGAGACACGTGCCGAGGAATCTAATATCTCTTCTGTTCACATTGGAGGTGAAGAGAATAAGAATATTGAAGAGGACAGTGAGGAAGGACCATTTACAATAACTTTCAAGAACGTCTCTGAAGCACATCCAGAGTACAACCCCAAAGTAGGCCTAGAACCAGAAGCAGAGGACCACGAAGTTTTAGGGGTTCTTCAGGGTGATGGAGTAAGTTCTGGTCGACCTCCTGGAGGTGAACCTTGTCTTTACACTAATCCTGAATGTATTACTAATATACATATTCTAACTGGGACTAGTGAGCCTAGTGTTACTAATCAATTTATAGTGAACAACCGAATAGGAAATAATTTAGCAGGGACTGAGAGTGATTTCCAAACCCCAGACTCTTTAGAACTAACCAGTGGTGCTCCAGCAAATCTTTATCAACAATCATCTTCAAGACTAGTTAGGTTTGCAGAATCTAAAGGGAGAAGTGAACACAGTGAATCCTCTGACTCTAGTGCTGAGAGAAGCAGTTCCCTATTTGTTGAGTGTGATTCAGATCGCCATTCTGTAAGTGACGTGTTATCAGATGACCTAAATACACCGAGTGCGAAGTTGGTGGTAGCTCATTTAACAGATGTTGAAAGTGTTGTTCAGAAGCGTTCTATAGTGACTTCCAGATCTTTTGACGAGTCGCCACATATACAAAAATCTTATTTCGAAAGACAATATAGTGAGGTCATACTTGACTCTAGTTATTTAGCTCGTGAGCAAGTGATCACACAAGAACAAAGAGAGCGTAATCAATCGATAGACTCTAGGTACAGAAATGAACCACTAGTTGGAGAACCTAATAGACTTGTGAAGAGTGAATCTAATCCTGTTTGTATATCACGTAAAGAATTAATTATTGCTGAGCCTCTTCATCCCAAAGGATTTGAAGGCTTAACACAGTCTACTGTCGATAGTGAGCCAGAGATCCAAAGATCATCAGTTTCAGGTCCCGTTATTTATAGAAAAGATTTATCACCAGACAGTAATCACACTTCTGCCACAACTGTTACTCCAACTGCAACTAGAACTGTGACTACATCAGTCACAGCAATATCATCAGTTTTACCTGGCTCTACTTTGTCTACTACAACTATTACCAATATGACAGTCACCCAGGTAGTAAGGAACATGGGGTTCATTTGTAGAGTAGATGAATTTAACTTGCATGATATCTTGTGTAAATATGTGTAGTCAGATTTTGATTTTCCAATATTTTCTGGACCTGAAATGATATGAGGTGCATGTTTCATCATGCTTAATTTGAAAGCATGTGTTTATTGATACTGATATATTTCTATCTCATCAATGTCTATTAAGGAATCAGATGATGTGAGTTTAGTACTTGATTTTCACTCATTCTTATTTGTTAGTACATTTTTATTTAATTTTTATGATGTATGCATGGTAATTATTATTTATTGCTTATTCTGATTTCTTTTTTTTAATCACATGGCACAGTTTCTCATGACAAAACTATGTGTAAAGGTTTTTTTCTGCAGATTTTTAATATAGACTATTTATTGTGAATTACTAGAATTGACTAAATCAGTAAGATTTTGAAAATTAATTCTAATAATAGAAATTTGGTGTGAAACTTCATTCAGTGATTTAAAAAAAGACATAAAATTGTCAGTAATGAACAAAATGAAATAGTCATAAATTAATATTGGAAATTTGATCCATTAGTTTATACCTTTAATCATATCTTTTAAGGGGCATGGAGAAGCATCATGTTGATAATGGGATATTTAACAAGCACTTTCTAATTAATTTGATTGATATGTCATTGAAGTCAGACAGAAGGTTATTGTAAAATATGTTATATAGAATTCTATTTATGCGTATTTTTCCTTCAATTTGAAGAATTTATATATTGGAAGCAAATTATATTACAAGCACTATTGTAAGACCACATGAAGAAATTTCCATGTTGTGCTCATAATTCTCAGTCAAAGATTTTGCATTTTGATTTATAGTAGGTAAAATCAGCATGAGAAATTTCCATAAGAAATATGAATGAATTTTTGTTGTGTTTTTGTTGAAACAACAATATTAAATAGTTTCTCTCATTAAATTATGAAGAATAGTTTTATGTTTCCAAAAGAAACAGCATTACATGCTCTGATTTTTTATTCTGATTTTTTTCATTATTTTTAAAGCTAATGCTAGTGATAGAAAAACAAGCTTGTTTTAATTTTCTCTACTGTAAGCAATGACAATATGCATGAATTAGTGCTTCTTTATGTTTTTTTTTTTTAAGTTTTCACAGGATTAATTGTAAAGGTAAGGTATTTTGCATATTGTTATACTTCTCTTAAAGTAATGGTTTACATTATGCTGTAGATTGTTGTTATTACTTCTTTTTATGACTGATGTACAGTATATTAATGTATGTAGATCTTAAGTGAGTATGTGAATTACATTATTACAGTTTTATTTTGCAGTGTGTGAGTTATGTTTTATCGAGTTGTATATATTGTGTATTTTTTTGTAATTGAATATTTGAAATAACTTTCTCGTAGACTTGATATGAGGTTTTGCATTCATAATTAAATATGATTGGTTTAAAGATCTACCAGATTTGAGTCAAATAAAGTTAGATTTTGCCAAGTGTAGGTAGATATTCTAATATAGACCACATGGATGTTTACAATGTTTTACCATGAGTGAGATAAATGCCTGCATGTTTTTTTGTTTGAGGGTAGTTAGATAAGATAATATAGTCTGGTTTGTAAGTGGAGGGAATGGAATGAATATTATTATAATAAATATTACCATAAACTACGCCACTTGAAGCACTTAAAACAATTTTCTGACCATATGCTATACTATAATACCAATGGATTCTTTTCTAACCATTCAATTCTTTAGGTGCGTCGGGATGACAAGAACTCCCTTGGCATCTCCATTGTTGGGGGTAAAGTTGATCTTAGCTGGTCTGGGTCTTCTGTGACTGGCATTTTCATAAAAAATGTGCTACCAGATTCTCCAGCAGGAAAGGGAGGTCACCTAAAGGTGGGTAGTAAAGTAAACATTTGATTATTGATTGTGCATGGTATTAGTATTAGTAGCAAGAGATTCATGTTTTTCTAATAAAACAGTGTGTTAAAATTTCCTTATATGTTAGTTTGGAAATACAGCCAACCTATGAAGCTTAAGGAATGTTTCCTAAGATAACTACTCTCCAGTAAGTTAAAATTATGGATCAGGATTAAGTATGTATCTCTGAATATATGTATTATGCTTGCAGTACTTTACCATTACATTTTTTTTTTTTTTTTTTAAGAAACAAAAAGCCCATTGGATGGAGGGTATTCAGTTAATTAAAAACAATTGAAGTTTATAGACTTCTTTCCTCTAATCTTCCCATATTCTTATCACGTTTCTTTATGTATGCATCAAGATTTTCAAGGTAACTTGCATTGTGTACGTGTTCCTGTATAACTTTTCTTGCTCTTTATTGACCGTATCCTTGAAGTTGAAGGAGTTGACCTTCGTGGTGCCACTCATGAAAAAGCTGTTGAAGTCATCAAGAAGACTGGAAATCCTGTTACTTTTGTTGTGCAAAGTCTTGTGCAATGGGTGCATTACAACCTTGTATCTATTTGTGTTCACTTTTTTCTTTTAAAAAGTTATGTTTCATTATTTATATAGATTCTTTTTTAAAGTGGTCTTGAATATATAGGTCTCACTTTAATTATTTTACTTGAAAGTGTGTGTAAGCATGGTATGATATACTTTACAGACACCTGCCAACTCAGCGCCTCCTTCACGTGATGTAAGCCGCCTGGGCACTCGGATGCCTAACTCCATCTCTCCTGCTAGAACACCAACTCCAGAACTCATCCAGGTAAGCTGCGCACCCCCCACTACGCCATCTACAGCATCCACTATTTCACCTGCCATGGAAACCATCATCCAGCCAGATGTGACAGACCCATATGGAGTTGTTCACACCACAGGACTAAAGGATTTCACCAATATCAGAGCTTCGCCCGAAGAAGTTTTTGTTCGTACGAAAGATACCCTACAGACTTACATACCGGGGAGTGACAGTCCTAGTTTTGCGCGTGAGTGTGATCCCATTAGGCCAGACTTCCCCTCCACTGACCCTACCAGTGATAGTGTCAGCCAGTCTCAACCATCGGCTAGGGACATAATACTTGCCGACCCTCCTGCAGCAGCTCTCGACGCTTCTTTCTCTTCACCCTCTTATTCTTCTGTGTATTCTTCTTCTTACTGTTCTGTCGGCACCTCCAAACATGTGTGCTCCACCATGGCTCATGCCTTTACCACTACTACCACTACTTCATCCATCATTCCCACCACTACCCACACCACCACCACTGCCTCTACCCCACTGATGCCCTCTAGGAATCACTACCATACCCCCCACACAGTTGCTGCAGCATTCACATTACCTCCCCAGGCCAGCACTCCACTCAGCGAAGGCAGCTCTCACCAGCAGCCGATTCAGCCTACGGAAAGACACCATCCACCGGATCCAAGAGTTACATTCCCAGTAGGACCGCCAATACCAGAGACTTCAACTCCAATTCATGAATTGTATCCAGAACCAGTGAAATTTGTGCCAGAATCTCCAATATCGGAACCTGATGACCCTGACCCATTAGTTAATCCATATTATTATTATGCTCATGCTGCTCTTGCACATTGGCATGAACGTGCACAGAGGACTCAGGAACAAGTGCCAGAAGGTGATGGAAACAATAGTGATCAAGAAAACAGTACAAGCAGTAGTAGTGCAAGTAGTACGGCAAGTCGAAGATTTCTTCAACTTAGGAGTTTTGGTAACAGCTCTGAGGTACAGGGACGAACAGTTACAGAAAATAAATTGGACACACCTCCATCAGATGTTCCCCTGATGGATACACCCCCATCAGATGTGCCTCCTATGGATGATTCTCCAGAAGATGAACCTAAACCAAGTGAAGTACCAGTAGTGGAAATTGAACCATTGACTAAGGAGATTCATAAAGTTGATAACCTGCAAACAGAACCTGCAGCAGTTCCTCCTCTTCCTATTATAACTAAGTGTACTGACCATCTAGAAAATGTCCCTCATCCAACCCGCCTTATGCTAGATGATTTCCCATTAGACCTGCCCTTGGACGACCCACCAGTAGGTGCATACACTTATGACTGGAGAACAGACCCGCACCTTTATCAGGGCTGGTGGTGTGTGGAAGGATCCGTCAGCGAACATTTAGCAGCTCAAGTTCCCACGCAGCCAGTCTCCCCTTACGACAGTCCTGCTGATACACCCACGCCAAATACCCCCACCACTGACCAGGTGAGGCTGCCCATCAGCATTCTGCCCACTCATGCCTATGCCCCAGATCCTCCTAGTTTCCTACATCCTGAATGGGCACTAAAAGTTATTGGGCATAGCATGAAGCTAACCTGTGACGTAGCCCAAAGGGACACTATTAGTGTGCACAACATCACTATCCCCTAACTACTCTCAGTTACACCCTGTCCATATGTAATGTGCACATTTTATTTTCCAGTCTGTTTTCATAAGGTGACTATCCTCCCCACCTTTATGTGTACAGTATATCAATATCCTTCTCTTACCTCCATGGCAGTATCATAAATTACACTGCATATTCACATCATTGCCTCATTATGTTGGTATTTACTGAATATATTCAGAATATTCATATTTTTTTATGATGAGTGTTTATATTGTCCAGACCAAAATGAAAATTATAATATGATATATCATGATGTGAACAGTATGATATGAAGCAGTGGAATCCCCTAACATGGTAAAATATGTCCCTCTTATTTTTCTCCCCCATTATACAGCTTTACTGTGAACACTAGTTATTTATTTTCATATGATGCTCATAGACTTGATTAAATTTTTCAGCAGTTGATTAATATGCACTAGTAAATATGCACTATCTCACTGTATCCCAGGCCTACACCAAATGATAATGAACAATCTATGGATGGCTGTAAATATATTAAAGCATATAGATTTTAGTATACTACTGTTCTTACTCAGAATATGATATCAATCCCAGTCTTAAGCCCTTTGCAATTCATGCTCCACCTCCAGTGTGAATCACTAGACCAGACTTTTCCTTTCCCATCATGTCCTTGTACCTTCTGCCTGCTTCCCCTTCTCTCTGCATGAAGCTCTCTGATCTTATTTTCCTCTCATGCTGACCCAGTGACAGAGAGTGCATTAGATTTCAGAAAATATAGATAGCCAATAGTCAACCTAGCCTAGATTTGACCCATTGTCATGACACTGCATGAGAAGGTGAGCAGTAAGTAGTTACCCATGACAAATACCAAGCTTATGCAATGATCCTGGAAAGGACTCTTTCATGAATGTACAGTATTAGCTGAGTACAAACAATATCTTGTGCTCTATAGTGTATGTCATTCTTGATGATAGAAGCATTGGTTTTTATATGCAAAATAAGTCCATGCCATAAGATATGTGGCTTACTACACAGGCAAAGGAAATCTGACACCACCTGGGATCTTAGACGCCAGCAGCATAACTGGTTTGAGAGAGGGGTGTGTGTGTATCAGTGTGACCAGGTCTTTTAGGTTACCAACTTCCGTTTATTGTACAATGCTTCGTTATTATTATTATTTTTTTTTGGAGAATAATGAATATTGCAACAAAATCTTTGTCTTGAAGAGAGTGTAGGATATGTAGGCATTAAGAGTGGTGCATATGGTGCATATATACCTATATTTTGATCTAATTTATTTATCTTTAATGTCTTGGTTTATTTTATTTTTCATATAAGTACAATGAAGTTTGATGTTTTGTTTCAGAATAATTTATTGCTACTTATGTATATATTATAAAACTGCCATAAAGAAATGTATTTTAGCAAAACATGATTTTCATAAAAGACCAAAGATATATAATTTTACTAATAAATGTGTGGAAACTGTTTTGCTGTTGTGAAGGATAAAGCAACAGGAAACTGACTTAGTTTACCTCTGACATGTGTAGTGTAAACATAAATTTCATAAACATAGTAGTGTTATTGTGGATAATAAGTTATAATTGTTCAAATTAGTTTGATGTAACTAGATCCTGGTACTTCTTACTTAAAAAATACAAGTAAAGAAAACAAGTAAATAAAATGTGATCTAAAGATTATGTTTCTGTTGATGATGCACATCTTAAATGTATGTTTGTGAAAGTTTAAATTTATAGTAATCATGAGACGTTCATTTCGAGATTGGCTGATTATATTTGGTGGTCATCGTGTAGCCAAGTTTCTAAAAAGTGTAGGTACAATTTTATTCTTATTGTAATTATTCTTTTTTCCAGATTTGGAAATACTTTTGTTGTTACAATGTAATCGTGCTACTGACTCTGTTAAGGGATTTTAAAAATTATTTATTAAATAATTTCTGAAAATTGATTTTAAAGATACAAAAGTCACACTGATACACATTGGTTAACCTATCCTCATGACATACAAAAAAGAAATACAGTAAAATGCATTCATGTCAACCATTTTCTTAATCCAGGCAAGATTTCTGTTCATACCATTGGGAATTAGAAATACATTTTTTGTTTTGTAAGAACAGTTGTATGATACATCTATAAACTAACACATGACAATAAAGTTCATGCTAAATAAGTAGTTATTAAAGCATTAAATTCCTCATCACAGTTGTGTTATGTTATACA